AAGCAACATAGGTCCATCTAGCAACACGCCTCAGCGTGAACTAAGTTAGTGTGCGTTATTCTATAGCCTTCCCTGTCAATTGCAGTAGGAGTGACAGAAATGTCAATACTTTAAAGTTGCTTGAAAAAAATGACCATATGTGCCATATCACAAAATAAATTATATTAATTATTATAATAACATTATCAAAAATTGGGAATAACCAACTTTTATATCAACCTTTGATACATATTTGTACTCAATATCATTACTCTAATGTATCACATAATTGAGAAACGTGCCTTTCGCAATATTTTTAGATGCTACTTTGGAATTATTTTCTATCGAGTGAAGTTAATACAATCATGTTTCGGTTTCAACCACAAGATCAGAAATACGATCAAGTATAACCACAAATTTTTGGATTACCATAGGTTTCCCGTGAATTAGTACAATCCTAGATCAATTTTATCGATTTGGCACTATTCAGCCTCTTAATATACAATATAAATCTGTGTGTAAGGCTCACGCACCGTGTCTGCGGGCATCACGCCTCCCGCCTGAAATTGGCAGAGTTCATTAATTTGATGGATGGCCTAGCGGTTTTGTTTACTGATTGAGGAAGAATGTCTGATGAGATTCGACGTTCGACGTTACTAAGCCAACGATCCTCTCGAAACTTTGAGCCGCGAGATATAAGAGATACTGGTTTACCACGACTAGCATTGGCATCGGTAAATAGGCTTTTTAGTTTGGAATTATAGGGTAAACATTTGCCAAGTGCAACTCAACAATAGACGATATTTAATCTAAGTCAAACAAAATAACGTGTTTGTTATACTCGTTTAGTGTTGTTGTTGCATGTTGTCACCTAACTCATCATGTTGCTTAGGATTGTCATATCTATGGCACATTTGTGGCTTCATATCTGTGCGAAAAGCCAGCTGCATACTCAAGTAGCGCTCGATGCGGGTGTTACGACCGCAAGGATTTATATGGAGTTGTAATATCAAATTTTTGACATAATAATATACATGATTTTTAATTTATTATTTAGTATTAAAAAAAACAATGCATCACAAAAGTTTATTATATTTTCTTTTTCGCCAGTCCCCATGTGTGATAGCCTTATTGTGTATATCTATTTTTACGGAACATTCCATCACATTCATACTGCTGTTAGGTACTTGCTTTTATATTATCGTAACATATTTTCTTTTATCCATATACTTATATTATAATCGATTTTGCAACCGATTTCTACTTCTCGTCATGAACTGAATTTATACCAAGTTATTCCATATATTAGTATTGATTTTAATGTAAACTTCTTCCAATTAACAATTTGCGTTATACTTTCATGATTATAACAAAATATACTTCAGTAGTGCCACCTATGACTATAGGATGTAACTAATATTGACAAATAAAATAAAGGTCAGTCATTAATTGATAGATAGATAGATAGCTAAAAAGTTTATTTTCTCAGCAACACACAATTACATCACACAAAAGAAACAAAGAGAAACAAGAAATAGAAATATATCTGTGTGCAGCAGTTGAGAAAAGGGTCTAGGCTCGGTGCACTAAAATCATCTAATGCGGATGAAGCACCGATTTTCAGCCATCACCCTGAATGAGATGAGCGGGGACAAAATATTTTTTAATATAATGGAATGAATAGTAGTATCGGGAAGATATAATGTCAAAAAATAATATAAATAGAAATAAAAATGGTACACAAAAAAAAGAAATCGAGAATTAAAAAAAAAATAATAATAATTAAATAAAAAAGGCATTTCAAGTATAATTCATGATAAATGATAGTATAGGCATGTCAAGTATAATTCATGATAAATGATAGTATAGTGTTAGAAGTATATATATTGATAAGAATGTCAAGATAGAAATATTAAGTGTCAAAAAGGTAGCACGGAAAAATTAATTACAAACATCCGTGAAGTATACGCGACTTTTGTAGATCCAGTAAATGGGATTTAAGTCTGATTTTAAAAGCGTGAATTGTAGTAGAACGCCTTAAATTGAAAGTGTGTATATGAATATTGTATGTTTCATTTACAACTAGGTTTCCAAATTCTAAAAGCTATAATTTTAACATTGACAATATTGTTTTACAACTCTATATGTATACGTGGTATCAGTGCTTATGGCAGTAGTGTGCAAATTGCATTACATTCGCCACAGCAATCATGTCAGCCACAGTAGCCTCCTAACTCATGGCTGTTACACACTACACTGTGAAAACGATCGTTAGGCCCTTATTAGGTGCTATATCTATATCTTTACGCAAGATCCTTTGGAAGGTGTGCAGGACCATACGAAAGCTACAAACCACGGTTATATAAAATCATCTATTCTTATGATTTCTTATATAACTTTCCGATGGTACATGAACAATTTGTAGATGAGTATCGTCATTATTTAATACAGTATTCAAGTTTAAACCAGCGTAGCATCCCTTTCACAAGTCAGTGACTACCTTTAAGATCAATTTCCTTTTGTATCTCTTTATTAATCTGCGTTATTACAAATTCTATGTATTGCGTCTCGATTGCGATTTTTTTTTATTTTCATACCCTTTCTGATTCGTAAGAAGAGATTCTAACATTTATAATTGTCGTAGTTTTTGTAATAGTATTATTTTGTGTTTTGAATTTTCAATGCTATTTCAAGATTTCTCTTAAAATACTTGAAAAAAACGCTAACCGGACAATGAGGAATCTCCGGTCCTTGTTCAAATATCTAAAAACTCACATTAGCTATCAAAACTCACATTAACAGTAATAATAAACGTAATTTCGTTTTAATCGGAATTAGAAACAATTTTTGTGATTCTTTTCGCGCTTTCATAAATATCCAGGTGAAAATACACTCGCTTGTACAGAAGAGTAACTAGACTTGATAGAACAAATTAAATATTTATTAAACTTATAACTATGGGTACTTACCCAAATCATCCTTACTGGTTTCTTATATTTTCACAACTCGTTAAATAAAACGCGTTTATCATCAGCTTATTAACGTCCTTACTGCTGGAGCTTAGGCCTGAGGAGGATAAAATCGAATAAGTAGAATGGGCCATGACGCACCATGTGGGCCGAAGCGCGAACTGTTGAATGCTAATTAATGTAAATGCAGCCGGGACCAACGGACCTCGAGATATTAAATTTTTGGCCATTCATCCTATGAGCGGTTTTTACTATAGTTGCTTAAGAACTGTATCGCAGATCCAGCGCGCTAAACACTGCGCCAGCGAGCTCCTTTATATGCGTTTACGTTCGATTCAATTTTAGACGTTTTAGATCCCATCAGTTTCCGCGTTCAGTTCAAAATTTATAACATTAACTTTTAGCGTCTCATTATAAAAAGAGCCTTAAATCATTGACCATAATAAGTCAACACGTCTCAATTTAACGTTTCCTCTTCTGTCATTGTTAATTTGATTTAGGCGGCTAAGATTATAACCAAGTACTAACTTTAGTACATTATTTATAACAACACAATTCAAGTTTAAAAACTTTGTAAGTCATAATGTCATATGACAATGGGTTATTAGGTACAAAAAAATAATAGAACATATCAATGATAGTAATTTAATGTGATATTTAGAACTACAATAAGTTTTGCTAAAATTTTGTAGTGTAGTGATTAATGAAAAATTTTGAAAGACTACCAAAACTTTAAAAATCTAGTTGGCCATACCCTTTTATGGACCTCTATAACAGCACTTGTATACCCAGATACAAAAGTTTTAATTTTATAAATCTAACTCAATCCCTTTTAGTTTTCCGAATGAAAGATAATCACGAATTTCACTCTACAACTATTTGACATATAATAGCGATTGCGACCGCTACTTTTTTTGAAAGATAACAAATGAACGATAAATATCTTAAATATATAATTGGAAATATCTAAGGCAAGCGTTAGATGCAAATGTTTTTGAAAGCGATCGAGAAAAGTCAAACGAAAGGGTTGAATGCTAACTTAAATCTTTCGTTGGGTTTAACTAAGTTTAATCATAGTTCTTGATGATTCACCTCATCGTTCGTTCCAAAAACGATTGCGATTTTAAAATTTACACAATCAAATCATCAATCTTTGCGATAAATTTTCAAATTAGACAATTTGCTCACTGAACACTTGCTACATTAATATATTAGATTAATTATTTTTAAATCAGAATTTACAATAATAAATTAATACTATGCAAACAATTAAATACATTTTCTTGGTGGTGTATAAACCAATCCTATTATGTTGGAGTTAATTTTATCATTAACAGTCCAAGCGCCATGAATTATTTCATTTTAATTTAAATGTGGGAAAACTCTGCTGGCGCCATTGTTGTTGAAGTTGTTGTTGGTGTTGGTGTGGCTACAATAAAGACAAAATCATTAACACAATACACTAAACGTCTATTTAAATTAATAATAATATTCATTATCACATAATCACCAGCCTATTATAGCTTCCACAGCTGGGGCTCAGGTCTTCCCTCATGATAGAATTTCATCGGGAAAAGGTAAAATGGGTAATGACCCACCACGCGGACCCAGTGCGGATTGGTGTGTATTAACGACTATAGATGCAGCTGAAACCAGTGGCTTAACGTAAGCACGAAGGGATTCGAGATAACCTACCCATCAAAATTATAAAAAAGTAAAGTTTCCAACTGTGTTTGTTCGCAAGGGGTAATTTTCGGAAATACTAATAAAATTATCAAAATTTTTACACCTACGGGAAGCTTTATCACAGGTGGATGACAGCTGGTGCTGTATATATATAAAACAGTCATGATTCTTTTCTTGTCTATATTAATAGTATTACTTTTTTACTATCGTAGGGTGAGCGTATTACGCAACTTAATCTAATACAACGTACTCTCACTTTTGGGGGACGAACTGGGATCCACAAAGAACGGCCCCGAAAAAGATCGAACAACTATAAAAATCGAGTATGTCTTGGACTAGAAAGTAGCGAAAATTATATTGTGACATCTACTCACATGATTCTGGAATATTACTAAGACCACAGTCCTTGTCAAAATGCGCAATAGCTTCTTTAGCAACCCCTGTTTCGGTTTTGTTGCAACTCTTCACACAACCCATTGGCTGGAACTCTCCAAAAATAGTACATATCTTCTTCAAATACCAAATATCAGGTACTCCGAACACGGTGCTACCACTACCATTTCCTAGTTCTATCAGGGGAGATATCCCGACATTTAGTCTCATGAATTCAGCTGCAGCATTCGACGCTAAATCGCCTTCACGACGTACACATTGTTTAAATTCAACAGGATCGATTCCAGTTTCACAGAGACAATATTTACTTAATCTGCCTGGAAGTCAAGCAATGCCATAATTTGCAATTTTAATGAAGATAAAAGTAATGTTACTTATGTAATGTAATGTTAATAATTTAACAATTTATGCCTTATACGTTTTAAACCCTTGTTTAGGTCATTTCTGACACAGATTAAACTATTGACACAAAGAAATTTATGATGAATTCCGCGTGATCTTTATATGCTCAAACAACAATAACTTATATGCGTAGCAAATTTGCAACATTACCAATGATAATATGTAACTCACCCTCAGCTTCACATTTCAAATACTGAGCTTGGAGAAAAGTGTTCATCTTCAACTCTTTCAAAGCGCACATCTGTGGTACAGAATATCTGCCGCTACCTAACAAGTGGAATTCCACAACAATCTCTCCACCAATATTATCTATGATCCATGGAAAAGTATCTGTAAAGAACTCCTTATCCTTCATCACATCACCGTATACCGATATAACATAGCCAGCTCTGATGAAGTGAAACATTGAAAGTAATGCAATTACTCGGAACATTTTGTTAAAAGTGTCTGAACTGATTATTTTACAAAGTATTTAAAAGAAAAAGATACACGTGTTGATATAAGGTCGGTGTACAGTACGCAATCTATAATATAAGTAAAGTAAAAAAATAATAGATTCATAATTGAAACTGGCGCGTCAGAAAAACTCACGAAATTGATACGAAGGTTGGCAAACTCAAAATCTTAGCTTGAAGATAGATGACAATCGTGATGCCAAGAAGGCGTATTTGCGTGAACTCAATATAATGAATTGAAGAACCACGGAAGTTGACTTTATCTTGTGTCAGACAGGGCCGACCTTCTTGTACAGGCAAACTAGTTAACTATCTAGGGCGCTCGTATTTGGAGGGCGGCATAACATAACAAACAAATTATGTTTGCTCTAATTATTATACTATTGGAACCTTAGAATAATGACTTTTATTTTGTCCGCGGTGTTCAAAAGAACAAAATTTTCAGATATCGATGAATGGTCATATATAATAATCAATACCGGTGTAATTATTATTCTTTTATTTTGTTCGGTTTTTATGGGTCTCATTCTAGATTTCTGCCTAGTGCGCAAAATTTCATTGTACCGAAGCTGATGTCAAAAGCCAATATCCACTCCACCACATTCCTAATTGACTAACACTTAAGTGATTTAGACACTTACAAAAATAACATAACAGTACAGACATCAGATAATACAGAAAAGTTAATTTTTAAATTAAACCGGATGAGAATCGAGCGCAAGTTCTCAGTGATGGTAATATCTTATAGTCTCCAAGCAACTCAAGCTCGAAAGTATAAGAAAGAAAGAAGCAGAAAAAATGTAAATATTTATTCAATAGTCTAAATGTGAAGAGTCGGTTTATGTTTATAATACGCGGATATAAATAGAGTACTGAATAAAGCATTAACTTACAGCATTAACTTTCAGTGGATGACTATACTTATAAAATATAACATTAAAATTATTTCCTTATAACGAGTTATTTTTCTACAACAATAATTTTAAAATATGTTAAGAATCATATGAAATTATTACTACGAATAGATTTTCTTTACATAGTTAGCCAATAAAAATAAATGAGACAGCTGCGTAATTTTGCAAGCGATAATTTAAAGAAAAAGTATTTTTAAATTTAGAACGTGATTATATAACGTAGCTTTGTTTTCTAATAAGCCGAAAAACATAAATCAACATTTTTTTCTGAACATAGCGCCATAAAGGGGGAAATATTGGCGGAAGCCGCAAAAAAATCTGTGCACGAGAATTTACATTTCAGGGTTGACCGAAAAAAGTGGCAAAATGCCTGTAGCGCACTCGACGATTAACTGTGTTGCGGCAGGTAGGGCTGTATCCCTAGACGTATACCATTAACGATATTTTTTTTTGCTTTTAGCTCAAGCAGAGTCTTTAAAAATAAGTGAAAAAAAAAACACATAAGTTTTGGTTAGTTCTGTCGACTTCGACTGAAATAATTTATAATGCCTTTTCTAATTTTCAATTTTATTTTGCATTAACTCATGTATATACCATGATTTCATAATAAGGTATCCATAAGTTATAAGAAATAGAATTTTGGTGGTGATTTTATACTGCTGTGTTGTTCTTGTTTGACTAATCTTTATTAAATCTAAAACTAGGGGTACGGTCGCTTAACTGCCTAAGCCATGACTCAAGCCATAGGAAACATCTTGGTGATGATAGGTAGACAGTGGGAAAGAGTGCCCCAAGATTGGAAAAATTTATTAGACGGACCCAAGCATTTAAACCACAAGCCCAGATTAAAAAAAATATTGTGCTGCTTTTTATATATATGGCCCGTACTTCTATCTATACTATATATAGATTTGGGGTTTGGATTTGGATTATAGGAGACCTCCGAAAACGTATAGGGAACGTTTGAAATGTGTCGTACAGTCGTATGATGGCAATATCCTGAACACAAAAAGTCACCATCGAGGAAGTACTACGCCGGGTTAAACTTCTGCAAGCCATTCAGCAATGTAAAGTTGTATATCTATGGCATGTTCTTAGACATGACAGATATGAAATCCTGCAACTATTTATTACAGGAAAAGTTACTGGAAAGTTCTGGTTACTGGAAAGTCCTGGTTGCGCAACATAAGATAATGGATCGGTATCACGGTATCGCGTCGCCGAGCTCTTTTGCCTTACCCAAAATAGAACATAATACAAAAAGCTGCCAACCTCCACCAGATGGGGAGGTACCTTATGAAGAAGACTTGAGCAGAGTTTAGAAAATTTATAATAAATTTTCGGTGCCATAGTATCGATATCTTTTATGCCCCTTCCTTACTACGTGCGTGAAAGAGTATTCAGTATTTGACCGTGTTCCGATGAGAGCAATAATTTACATTCCCTGTGTAGTATCAGGCGAAATGGTCGCAGCGATAAACAGAAGGTTGAGTTGAAGGATTTAAAAATAATTTTAGAGTTAAAATAATTGTTTTCCTCTTTTCTTTTACATTAATAGGAAACATTCTGTACCATTTATTTATTTTTACACACTTAAAATTTCACATGAACAAATCGCTCACTGAATACTACAGTGGCACAACTCAAAAAGCATATTTCGAGAGACGGTCTCCGAAGTTATGAAAATTTAAATTTAATATATTTATAATTATGAAAATATTTTTTTTTCAGCATAACAGCTAAATCGTTTATAATATATTATTACTGTTAAGTTTTTTATTTTTTCTTTAAATTATATATGGGATGCCACCACAATGTTGTGGCGTTTTCTCGAAATAATGGATTTTGAGTTGTGCCACTGTAGTATTCAGTGAGCGAAATGTAACTGACATTAGAACAAGGGCACAGCTTATTTCAAATTGAAATTTCTACCAGCAGGCCTATAACAGGAAAAATCTTAGTGAGGTAGTCAGTGTGTACTTCGTAAATAAAAATAATATGGAACATATGAATTATATTAAATACAAATACTGGGAAAGAGAAAAATCTTTAATAATTGTGCAAACATTATTTACTCGTATATAATAATATATCAAGTTTATTAATATCTATACTTTCCGATATCAACCTTCACTCTTTTTTTCTTCTCTGGTATCTAAGTAATAAAGTAACATAGTTCTTCAGTGGTATTTAAATAATATGCATCAACAGTTAAGAAGAGGTATAATTTAGGACTGCCAGCAACACTTTAGTTATAAAAGGTAAAAAAATTTGAAGGCATTTGAGTGTGTTAAATGAGATAATGGTCTTATAACTAACCTGAGGTACATGGGCAGCATGGGCAGCAAGATTAGAATCTATTGCAACTCCAAGATTTTGCTCGGTATCTGTTAACGAGGTATGTGAACAAGTATAATTATTTATGAAAAACGAGAAAAAAAGCAAGTTTGGTGTACAGAAGCCCCCTTAATTATTATTTTTATTCTGTATATCAGTTTCTGTTTATATCAAGAAATTTTTGTAAATTTACGTTTCGAGTGTGAAATGACCCTAAAAAATATGACACTGTTTTCTCATATTTAGTTACAGGTTATTTGAACGTAATTTCTTGATACAAAACTAATGATCGAAATTACAATAACCTCTATAGCCCAGTTGCTGGCACGTTAATCAAATAAGGAGTATGGGCCATGACCCACCACGCGGGTGCAATGCCGATTGGTAAAAATTTTTGGTCACCCATCTTAGGACCTGCCATTGCGAAAGTTGCTTAACAACCGTAGACCAACACGCTAACCACTAGGCCATCTAGCTCTTCATATATTAGCACAATAATTAGAAACAACATCATATATATATTGCCCCGATACCAAACTCTTTTATTATGGAAATCTAAAACAATGAAGTTAACGTACGATGTTTTTAATACTACTCGTACGAATTATCATGGCACCTGAAGCCTTATTTTATTCCTCCGAAAAAGACATTTTATCTACTTTTGAATTGATAATACGACTGCAAGAAACATTTTTTTTCGCCAATTCATAATGCAACGGAGACTTGTCTATAATCAAATCAACGAAGCTATAACCTGTCATTACCTCTAATTCACAGATGTGATTTAAACAAAATTTCAAGTAGTATCCGAAATTCTCCGTATTTTCATTCAATTAAAAATTAAATACGTCCTTAGGAGTCTTGTTAATTGGTACGAGTTATGACTCAGATATCCAGAGAGATGCTTATTCACTTACCCAAGCTACCTAGGTATTTTCTGATTATTAATCTACGTGTTACCATTGATAACATTGTAATCGAATAACAGAAGGTTGTTTATTTCTCACATCGTATCACGTACTAATAGTTAACTGGCTCATTATAGTTTTATGTAATAAATAAACTAGAACTGGACTAGACGTGCTGAATTCTAAGAAGTTACACTCAAATCTATAATCGAGGGATATAATTACTTGAGAAAGTGGCATAACTTAAACAGTTTTTATAATAATAGTAACCTTACTGTTAACAGTTCTTCATCATCATCAGCCCTTTTATGTCCCTACTGCAGGACTCAGACCTTACTTATGGCTGGTTAAGGAGGATGGGCCCATCCTCCTTAACCATGACCCTCCTCGCTGACCCAATGCGGATTGGAGGGTCTAACGGTTCTTACTTCATTGAATTTTTTATTTAATTGTCAAAAATATTTGCTTATATAATTACATTTACTCGAGAATTGCTTTAACTAAACTATAAATATGGGGAATAATTAGATAACAGTGATTATAGATACGGGTGTTAATTTTTTGTACTCGGTGTGACCACAGAGTAATATAGTAGCGAAACGAAGAACTTACTGTCGAAATGATGTGCACACAGAGACGCACTCATTTACGTAAATTGTCAGGGGGTCTCGAGGTGAGCTCATTTGCGCTTGTCACGGCAAGACTTGTAGACGTACGGAGAATGAGCGTTTTCTATAGAAATGACACGACAATATTGTGTAGTATACGGATGTTTAAATTCGACGTGAAATTTATTAATTGTACCGCAAGATGAGTTTA